CTGAAGTCTCTCCCGGCGTGTCTCCTCACCCGCTTGTGCAGGCTTTCTTCACCGCTTGCGTTTCCTCACAGCTGTAGAAATGTGTTTTCCCTTTCATGCCCCGCTCTCTACTTTTTTGCTTCCGTTTCAGAGGGGTGGCTTTTTTCAAGCCATGTCATGTGTGTGCTAGGTGTGATTGTTACTCCCCTTGTTGTAATGCTTCCATGCACAAGAGCAGATGCCAGTATAAAATTATTTGTTCGCAGTTATCTATGACTGATAGCAAATGCTATGATTACTTGTTATCAACCAGAGCTAACACAAAGGGCGTATATATTCTGTATGAATAATCTCCAAAGCTGTGCAGTATCCTAGTAATAACACCATTTGTTTTACTTAAACACATGTGAAACAGTTCGTGTTTTTCCGTTTTAGAGAGATTTTAAAGAACGCTGTGCCCAGTGTTCAGAAGTGAACTGGGGTCTCACTGATGGAGGTGGATTTTATTGCAGATCTTGCCACAATGTTACTGAGGTAAAAACCACAAACTACTGGTCTTGAAAAAAGTTTATTTTGATTGCTTCTCAGTTTTATATTAAGAAAATGTTAGATTTTTCTCCTTGGCATTAGAAGTTGAAAGCAGTATTGCAATTATTCCTTTTTGTGCTTTACTTGACACTGTTTAAAACTAATCTTCCTTGAAATCACAAAATTTAAAATGAGCCATCTTCAGGTGCTGTGTTGCTGTAGCCATAGTGCCAGCATGCTGTCTAGGTGCCTTGGGTGTATTGCCTGGGTACTGCTGCACTTCAGTACAGTACCAGGGTAGGCAAACCCCTATATGTCTAGGATAGTAATTCTCTATTTTTGCAGTTTCTGAATGAGAAGCTCAGAATGTTCTGTCTCCCTTTACTTTAGGAAATTTGGACAAGTTCCTCCATTATGTTTTATGATGTTTCAGAATCTACGCAAGTTAGGCCTGGGTTGTTTTTTTTTTTCTTGCTAAGGTATAGTCCTGTTTTGCAGAGAAATAGAGAAGTTGTAAACACTGATTTTACTACTAACACAAGAGTCCAGACAATCTCCAAAGGTTCAAGAAAGCAGGAAGAAACTGGTATGTATGAATTTATCTCTGTATTTTATGTAAGAGTGGCTGCTCAGCCAGGGTTCACCTAGACCATTATGTCTTTGATGGTGACCAAGAGCAGGCAGCTAGGAGAGACTGTAAGAGCGGGAACGAAATACAAACCCAAGATGCTGTCACAACCTTCAGTGGTCACATTTTGGTGACTTCATGAGCCACAAGTGACCTCTGTGAGCCTGATGGTGGATTTTGTTGGGTTTTTTTTATACAACAGCTCTATGTTTCTTATTGTCACTTTGATGTGTGGAAGCCAATACTCAGAAAAGATAATGTTGGTATGCATTCAGATGTGGTCATCCCTTTGTTCCTTCCTTGTGATGGCTATCACAAAACCAGAAAAGTTGTCTGTCATCATAAGTGAGATGTGACGGTGGTCCAGCTCTGAGAATGTCTATTAGTCTGGCTTGTAGTACAGGTACTTGGCCCTGTAACCTGTACACAAACCTACATGGAAAAGATTTCATGTAGTTACAATAGCTAAAGCAATATTACATCTTCTATCCAGAGTAATTTCTATACTTTCAATGATTCAGAAGAATAGTAGTCATTATGTATGATGATATATGCCATAAGGATAAGTTATGGTAAGGCTGCTGCTGGAGCTGGATGTGTCCTGTGGTGGCTGGGTAGATGTTTTACTGTTGTGGCCACTTTCAAAAAGCAAAAATGCATTGCAGTGCTAAATGAAGCGCTGGGTTATCTTTGTCTCTGATATGCTGATCTATCTTCCCTCTGCTGTGGTGACAGTGGGTTACTACATTCATTTGAGAAGAACAATTGTGCGTAAGTGAAGAGTGAAAAGCAGAACAGCCATAACACCTCCACTTGTCTTTATCCTGTATTACTGCTGAAGTCTGAGCTGTGCACCATTTCATTAGCCATCCCCCAAGCTTTTTAAGAAAGAAATCCTTAGCTTCACACACTCCTTTCTGTGGGCGCAGTTACATTATGCTGTGGCACCTTATTTTCATGCATTTATAGGAGTCAGCTGTATCTGTGGTTAACAGTTAAAGCCAACATCATTAAAGCAGAGCAGAACCTTTGGGTAGTTAACTTCTAAGATGGTGAGATGCAAGGCATGATTGGAAGAAAAAATAATGAAAAAGAGGCACGGAAGGAACGAAAAGGAAGTTGAGAAATGCAGAGAAATTCTCTAAAAACAAAAGCCTGTAGAAAAAGAGTTGTAAATATAGAGAGGTAAGGATGAAAAGTAAATGTAATGCAGTCCAAGGGAAGAGTGGATAGATTGGAGCAGGCCTGCCCCTTATGAAATTCATGTTGTGCTAGAAGCTCAGAATATCTGAAAAGGTTTCTTTCATTTAAATGTGTATGATTGGGTGGGAGAGAATGGTGAAGACTGTGGTGATATTGGTTGTATTTTTTCCTGACTCACCACTGTAATGTGTTCCAGCTTTCTGTGCCCAGGGATGGGAAAGAAGTTGTATTTCACTTTAATGACAGGTTCTCAGTTACTTTAAAACTGGTCACTTAACCACTCTCCACTTGGTTGCAAATGCCACACTAGAGGTTACAGTGAAATATGTTGTTCTTGGGAAATGTGTGGAGAACAGTGCTTGTTCAGTAGCTTTTCTTCTTGATTAAGACTGGGAATAAATGGGAGTTAATGGAGTGTAGTCAGTGTGGCTGATCTATACTCTAGGATCTGAAATAAGTTATTAAATAGAGAGATACGTTTCTGTCCTGATACCAAGATAACAGAATATTAAGTAGAACCAAATGTGCATAAGGTTAAAAAGACCCACAAAACATTACAAACAATAAAAATGAAACTTTTTTCTTTTTTCTTTTTTTTTTTTTTTAATTTTTAACTTAGATGGAGGCTGTGAATGGTATGTTTGTGAAGGCTTTCAGCTTGTACTCAAGAAACAAGCTGATGCTTTAGAAGCATTAGGAGTATGTCCACAAATGAAGGTATGTAGGTGCCAGTGTGAGTTGTACACGCTGGGTGTGTGTTACAGGAGGTGTAATTTTAAAAGACTGTAGTTTTTAAAGTAAATGGAACAACTCCCTGTTTAAAAACGTTGAGCATATGAAAACAAACTTTGCTTCTCTGGCAATTTTAAAACATAGTTTATAAATGACAGTTATAAAATTAAAACTGGAACATTATCCAGATCTCTGAGTTAGAAATTATGCTCTGTTCTCTCAGCAATCAAGGACCTTGTAAACTTTGTATTAATCACTATCCATTTGTATTTATCAGGATGAAGTTCTGTGCAATTTTTGGAGGTGTTACCTTCAGAAAAGCAAACAGGCATACTGCATCCGACCAGCTGGGGAAACTGTCAAAGCATTATCAGTAAGTGAAAAGCTCAAATCCCATGACATTTGGTATCTTTTTGAAATCAACAACAGAATCCTTGTTTGCTCAAGCTACATATCTAGCTGCCATTCATGTCACTTCAGTATGAAGGATGTCTTCTAAACAGGGTTCCATATGCCCATTTGTTGTTAGGTTTGGTTTGGCTTTTTTGGGTTTTTGAGAGACAGATACTTGTCTGAGTATGGAAAACTGCTTATTTAAAAATACTGCATTGTCTTGACAGAGAGTCAGTAGGTAGAGCAGAAGATACAACACAAAATGTATCATCAGCTACCATCCTTTCCTGTCTGCTTTCTTGAAGTCACGTGCTTCATGAAGCTCTGATTCTATGTACTGCCAACTTTTTGGTCACTGTACCAGACAGAAATGTAATGTCATCACTAGAAATCTTTTTATCTTGAGAAATCCTTTAAAAATAAGGGTTTTTTTGCAGGGTTTCTTTCCATACTGCCGATCCATAGAAAAAGTAAAAATGTGAGCTGTTGGAGTGTAAACTTCATTTACCGTTGAACTTGCATCTATCATGTTTTACTTGGTTTCTTCAGATTGAAACGATAACTGACAATAATACAATGACTTATTTACAAACCCCAGGTATGTGATAGCAGTACTGATGTGGACAGTGATCCAGAGAGACCTAGCTTTCTTCAGTTGCTGTCCCTCTCTGAAAGTGAGGGGGAACTGCAGACCGATAACAGCTTTGCCTCGTCAACTAGCAAGGTCTCAGGTAGGAGCAAGGAACACAACTATCTGGAAACAATTTTCATATAGTTTTTTAATAGAAATAAATAGATATAAAATATATTCATGTAGAATGAATTGGAGGAACTGGTTGGAAATGGTAGAGTTTTCAGTCCTGTTTGCCACTAGAGTACTTTGTATTCTACCAGAAATAGAAGACTTTGCCTCCTCCCAAAGCCCACCCAAGGAGATGAAAGTTGAACAGGACCTGGAAATACAATGGGAAATGCAGGAGGAAGTTCTATTTTATAACAAGTTTGTGCCATGACTCCTGTTTGCAGTGGGAAAAAAATTGCTATTTGCAAAGCTAGATGTTCACAAACATAGCAGCTTTGTCAGTCATGTCTTTGATGTTAAAAAAACATTATTTGGTTCTTGAGGGGGGGTTGTTTGGGGTTTTTTGTTTATTTGTTGCTTGGTTGGGATTTTTTCTTCTACCCCATAGATATATTTAGCTTCCTAATTTTTGCCTTACAGTATGTTTTGGTACTTCTGTGTCTTCTATCTCTACATTCATAGAATCAAAGAATGGTTTGGGTTGGAAAGGGCCTTAAGATCATCTAGTTCCAACCCCCCTGCCATGAGTAGGGACGCCTCACACTAGACCAAGTTACCCAAGGCTCTGTGCAACCTGGCCTTGAGCACTGCCAGGGATGGAGCATTTACGACTTCTTTGGGCAACCCATTCCAGTGCCTCATCACCCTGAACAGTAAAGAACTTCTTCCTTATATCTAACCTGAACATCCCCTGGTTTAGTTTAAACTCATTACTCCTTGTCCTGTCGTTACAGTCCCTAATGAAGAGTCCCTCCCCAACATCCTTGTAGGCCCCCTTCAGATACTGAAAGGCTGCTATGAGGTCTCCATTCAGCCTTCTCTTCTCTAGGCTGAACAGCCCCAACTTTCTCAGCCTGTCTTCATACGGGAGGTGCTCCAGTTCTCTTATCATCCTCGTGGCCTCCTCTGGACTTGCTCCAGCAGCTCCATGTCCTTTTTATGTTGAGGACACCAGAACTGTACACAATACTCCAAGTGAGGTCTCACAAGATCAGAGGCAAGGGGTAGGGTCACCTCCTTTGACCTGCTGGTCATGCTTCTTTTGATGCAGCCCAGGATACGGTTGGTTTCTGGCCTACAAGCGCACACTGAAGCTGGCTCATGTCAAGCTCCTCATCAACCAACACCCCCAAGTCCTTCTCCGCAGGGCTGCTCTGAATTTCTTCTCCACCCAGCCTGCAGCTGTGCCTGGGGTTGTGCCAACCCAGGTGTAGGACCTTGCACTTGGTTGAACTTCATGAGGTTGGCACTGGCCCACCTCACAAGCGTGTCAAGGTCCCTCTGGATGGGACCTTGACTTTTTACTACTTTATTTTTTCTACTTTCCTTATAACCCCTTCTATTTTGTCAGTTTCTCTTTTCTGTTCACAGTATCAACTTGAAAATATTTATAGAATGCTAAACACTTTTAATTAAAAAGTGTTCTAGAAAGTGTGGGGTTTTTGGTACTACTGGGCAAGTGTAATGCCAGACAAAACTACAATGTCTGATACTGGAAATACATTTGAAGGCCCATTTGAAAGCTTTTGTTTGCTTTTTAAACTTCTGATGGTTTTTCTTTTTTGCTTTATTCTTTGCTTGCCTTTTTCTTCTTTGTCTGTTTCAGTGTTTGTTTTTCCCCTGTTACTTACCATCTATCCTCTTTATGTCCCATTTCTGTTCTTCTATGATACTGCCTGTCTACCCTCAGAAGACTGCGATCTTCTTGTTTAATATTCTCTTCATTTGTAAAGGCCAGAAACAGTAATAGGGTAAGAAACATGATCTGCAGCAAATGAAATTAATAAACTTTTCAATATCCAAACGGGGAAAGAAGTGAGAAAATGGTGACACAAATTTTTGTGAATATAATGCAAGCACCTCTCAGCCTTATATATTAGAAGAACACAATTTCCAGATAAAGAGTCACTGTATGTAGACGTAGCAGATCTTGGGTTTTACACGAGTATTACATAAAGAGGAAAGAATTGAGTGAAAAATTTCTAGTGAAAATATTCCATTGAGTTTTCTTACCTTTTAGATGCCTAGAGGGACTCCTTTCTCCCTTGGTGCTTGTGCCGTTTCTAGTTATGCTGTTTAGCACTTCAGGATCGCTGGACAGTGTTAAGAAAGGCCATAATTTAATGTGTTCTTGGTCTGTTGTTTCAGAGGTTGGATTCAGCTGTTAAGTAGTCATACCAATAAAAGCACTTGAAATGAATTAAGAGTTCTGCACATTCGATAACGCTAAAAGTACATTTTGGTGAAATCAAACAAACATAGAAAGTGTTTTGTATATTCAAATTTAACACAAGTAATACTAAATGTGTTCTAGTCAATTATAAATTCTTGTGAAGATCCGTAAGTTTCCTTTTCTGTGCTGTTTCTACTGAGCTGGTATTGCTATAGACTGGAAACCTCAACACCCTTTTTTCCTCCTAAGAGGCTTGTCCAGCTAGCAAGATTTTTTTGTTATTTTTCGGTAGGGTAATAGCAAATTCTGAGTGTAGCACTGAGATGTTGCTAGAGAAGCCTATTAAACTCTTAAATTATTAGATGTGTGTGACTGTGTGTTGTCATGCCTTGCATAATCTGGAAGAAATAAAAGGAAATTGTGTTCCATCATTAAGGCCACAAATATAATGAGGATTATTTTAAATTGAGTTGAATGTGAAATTAATAATGAAGCTTCAGCAGTGAAGCTGCCTTTAAGCACAAAGTATCCGTGTAAAAGGTGAAACTGTTGACTAAAAGGATTAACTGATGTTCTTCCTTTTGTTCTCTGACGCACCTACGTGATAGACCTCATAAGGTGCTCTCATCTAGTCCTTGTCTTAGTCTGTACAAGTTGTACGCCTGCACTGGTTCTTCTAACCTGTTGCTATGTCCATAGCGCTACTGGCCGCCGTTTTAGGAGCCGGTAGGTGGCATCAAAGACCAGTTCTGGCTCAGGATCGCAGTGTTTGCCGTGACTGCATGCTGCATGTCGGTGGGCGCTGGACCTCTGCCGCTGACCACTGGCTCCTTATGGGCTTGGTTGTCACCTGCCAGCATGACCACGGAGCTGCCAACCTCTCCGAAGTCTTAAGCTGTTTTTTGCAGGCTGCTTGCCATGTCTCTGCAGCTCCCAGCCGGGGAGCTGTAGATCCAGCCCTCGCTGTTCCTGTCTGAACAGGTGAACGGTCTGTGGGGAAACAGTGAGGAAATCTCTACAGAATCAATGCTGATGTTTTGTGCTGGTGTGCTTTAAATTCATTTTCCTTCGTCCTGGCTGGGTGATGCTGTAGGGAAGAGAGGCTTTTCTTTTTTATTCTTACTTCTTCCCCCAACTCCCAGGTTTCACTGCTGAAGAGGTTTCCAACTCACAAATCACTCTATGAAATTAAATTTCTTCTTGCTGCTTCTCTTAATTTTTAGTGATTCATACCAGTAATGAAATAGGGAGGTTTTGTTGTTGGTTGGCTGGGGTTTTTTTTTTTCAACCCTCTTCACCATTTGCTACATTTTTGTTCTGATGGTGTTTCTTTTTCACTGAATTTAGATACGTTTTTTTAAAAGAATATCTACATTTCCACAGTTAGGGATTCTATAGCAGATGGATACACACCTTAACCTCAGTAAAATTTCTGCAATGTAAATAATTCTCTTGTTAAAGTCCTGACTGGGCTGAAGTTTAAAACTCTGTGCTTTAATCACTAACTCTGAGGTATTGATTTAAGTACATAAAATTTTCCCTTGTTTCCCCACTGTTCCCTTATTGCTCAAAGGGAAAATAGTATTTCCAGCTCATACGTACTGTTAGTTATATGTTGTGTAGGTTAATGTCCTTCTAGAACTCCAGGTTTAAGTGTAGCTCTGCAAAAAAGGTCTGTTTTGATGGGTACCAGAGGGAGTTTTGCCTCTTCATGTAATCCAGTGTCTGAGTCAAGTGAATAGTGGTTTATGAAACAGGGTGTCATCTCATATTGTGGTAGACAAATAGAGTTAAGTTGTTTAGTAGAAAAGTGCACAAACTACCCACTACTCAAAGCAGTGATTTCAAAATGTTACTAGTTTGCTGAACAAGGGTCCTTGTATGTGCCTTGTATCTTGTTTTCTGTATACCATGAATACATGTACATCATATCAATTCCTTTTTTTTTTTTTCCTTTTCTTTTTAACATAAACCCAAGAAAGCACCTCTGCGTGCTCTGGATCAGTTGATGGTAGCTTGTATTTAAAGAAGAACCAAAAGGAGAAACTGAGGATGACAATGCCAATGACCCTTTCGTTCTGTTACATGGCATTACTCTGGCTGAGAGAACCAATGACATTATCTGATCTCTTAAGGTATGAACAGTCTCTAGTGAAATATTTGCTGTATTTTTTTATAAATATAATTTAAAAAATTAGATCTGTACTATTTCTCAATTTGCTCAGTAATAGTGAGAAGTTCTCTGCATTTAGTTGTTTTTTCATTGACATAACAATTCACATAGCTGCTTTTGGAGAACATTGTCCTCTGTTGATTGCAATGAATATCAAAGAGCTGTAAGGGAGAAGGGTTTGGAGCTAAAGAAGGTTTTTCTCCTTCTCCCTCAAAATTTAAGATTCACCAGCACTATATGTGCTGTTGTCAGCATGGCAGAATTAAATGAGTAAACATTCTCCAGGGCTTACATCAGTGGCATCGTACAAACGATAGCACTAGCATGTAGTGATCTGAAAGGTACCTAAGTAACTTCATGCAGTGGAGCTTGGGCACAGAAATTAATATAGGAAGTCCTTTTCTGTCTTCATATCTTTTAATCTGTAATTATTAGAGTTCAGAATAACACACCTTTTAATGTAGTAGAAATAAAATGTTCTAATAATAGGGTTTGATGCTAAGTGGAGACCGCCAAACTGTTGCTGACAATGCAGTTCCCTTCTCCCCCCTACAACAAGGCTGTGAACACACTCCTTATTTACTTAAAGAATGAAAAATTCTTCATCAGCTTTTCTTGTTAGCCATAAATATTTTAAATCAAGCCCAAATAGGTTAAATTCAGGAATTCTTAGATTTTCCTTGCAAGACCTTTTGTATACTGATACTCCTTTTTAACAAGTGCTGAAATAGTATGTATTTCTAAAAAGATGGTGAGAAAAACGTTACTTTGCCAAAATTTAAGGAACAGAAAGACTCAAGTGACTGTATGTTGGCAAATCAAATTGAAAACTCAGGCAAGATAAATGAAAAACTGATTAAAAATTCAGTTCAGTTCTTTAATTTTTATTTTTGAAATATATAAGCTGTGAGCTAAAAGGCAAGGCAATGAGTACATCATCCCCCACCTGTGGTGCATATAACTCATACTGCTGCTGAAAGTGTGATGAATGCAAGGAAAGTGTACACCAGAGCCTGATACTCCATTGTGGCCTCTCTCCCCTTGAAGTGCCAACTTCCAGCATCAGTTTCCTACCTTTGTACAAGCTTTCCAACGAGGGTGGGTTTTGAAGAATGCTATTCTGCAAGTACTTTTAAAAGGGGAGGTTTGTATGTGCTCAAGTACAGTACTTAATACTAGTGAATTTATTTCTATGCAGAACAGTGTTTCACCCTTTGACTTAACGTTAGGGGCTGGCTGTTGCCTTCGTTGACCAGAATTGCACAATATCATATCTGCATAAGTAGATAAAAAGAGACTTGTTAAATTTTCAGCAAAATGCCACAGTATTCAAAATTCCAACTAGCACCCTGCCATACAGAAGTATTTATTGAGTAGGTTAAAAACCAGTAGAACTCAAAAGTAGTTTTCAACAACAAAATGTATGACTGACTACTGTCTTCCTAAGGAAATTCCGGAGGAGTCAGAACAACCATAGCATACTCTGTATTTTTGCCACTGATTTAAAAACTAAATATATAAATCCTGTCTGATAAAATGTTTGTAATATGGCAAAAAATCCAAGTAGTAAATTACTATTACTGGGATGGACAAAATGGTTCATAATAAAGAATTATTGCTTAGCCCATCCTGTTTGGGGAGAAAAATAAATTATTATATATCTATTATTTGGTTACTTTATCTTGGAAACTGTGTCACTAAAGAATGCGGCGTCATATGAAGCAAATACATCCTCACAAGTTTCTGTTTTAGGATGATAGTCTGGTTTGAAAAAAAAAAACAACCAACAAAAATCAGCTGCCAAAGTCAACTATTTAGAGGAAAGGCAGATTGTGTTGTTTGTATCTGAATGGTATAATGTGGTATTTGGCACTTTAAAAACTGGCAACTGCAGAAAAGATCTAGGGAAATAATTCAGAACGTGGAGAACATCCTTTGTACTAAGATCCTCAAGAGATGAGCATATTTGCTTGAAAGGATTTAGGGGAAACATGAAAACAGTAAAAAGAGCTGGAAAATGAGAGGAAAAAACAATCAAGTACCAAAAATAGCACAGAAAGGCATAATCAGAAACTAGTAATTGGAAATTGAAATAAGATGATTTGAATGAGAAGGTATCATTTCATTAGATAAAATTTGTGGGTGCAATACTCTTGAAAGTGGATAAATCAAAATGATTCAGTGACTTTAAATGCACTGAACATAGGAACTGGATTAAATGCAGAAAGTGATGTTTAAAAGAATATAATTTGTATTGCAAAGTTTTACCATGATACGATAGTTATATAAGACCGTAATTACATTATCATGCTTCCCTCCCTACCCTTAAGGTCTCTTTCACAAGCTTCGTGAAAAAGAGAAAAGAATTTTAAATTGCATGAACCATGATAAAATACTTGTTTGCAAAGTTATGAATATTTAACTTTAAAAAATCAGACATTTTTTCATGCATTAAGATACACAGATGAAAATAGTGACAGACCAGAGATGAAAACTATGCAGAGAAAACATTAAGTATTCAGCATTAGCTTTTAAATCTGTGTAGGCTTTTTTTTTTTAATCTTTTTTTTTTTTCCTAATTTAAACCACCTGAATTACAGTTGGGCTTAAAGTTCTGCCTTGTTTTTTCCTTAGTTTGGTTTTCTCGGTACCCTGAAGTCAGCTGACTACTGCTCCTCCCTTGTGATACATGCTTAGGCACTATGGTAGGGCAATCTGCCAGCTTTTAAAGGATTTACAACACCAAAAATACACTCCTCCTTGCTACTTGACACACTTAGCAGAAAAACACTACGATTACTTCCTCTGACAGGGACATTTCAGTTTAAAAATAACATTTTTAACAACCTGCTACTCAAGTCTATGCAACACATTAAATCCTTTTTCACTGTGAATAGTCTCACAATACTCCATACACTGTAGATTATTTATCTAATTAATAAAATTGCTGGCTTGTGGGAGAAGTTTCAAGATGCTAGACTTTGAGATTCTGAGAACTAATGCTTTTCAAATGAGGTTATACCTAGGTGTGCTGGCAAGACTAAACTTGTAATCGGTTTGTGGCATTACTTTGTGGCTTTAACAGATGCATCATTTCCTTGTAGCATGCAGAGGACCTGGGATTTTTTTCATACTTGGTCCTTAGTGTACTGCTGCTGTAATTAAAGGAACACAAACTGTGTACTGTATCTGCCACTCAGGTTTCCAAGCACTTCACTGGTAGAGCATAGGCTTGCAAGTGTTTTGATTGTCTGCCTGTTAAATGAAAGATTTGGAAGAAGAAACTGTTCTGAAGTGCTATTCCAAATCTGGACTTTTGGAGTGAGTGTTAAAAACCTGAATCATCAGCACACTGTATTCGTAACAGGGTATTTACACTGTTTCATGTATTTTTAGAATGTAAAAACAACTCTCAACCTGCGACAGAATAGCATTATTTTGTATGGAGACAGTGATTTCAAGCTGGGAAAGATGTCATTATTTTTTAAATAATTGCAGTGCTTTGAATTAGTACAGCCAAGTTAGTGAAAACCTTTTTTTTAAACAAAAAAAAACAACAACCCACAACATTTAGATGGACACTGCTATTGTCTCTTGCAGTGTAAGGATGTGGTTCCAGCATCAGTTTAAGATGATTGAAGTTTCTGTTACTGTGGTCCTGCATAAACATCCCTGCTCTTTCTCTTGCCATGGGTACCAGCATTCATCTTGTTTATGGTATATTAGTTGAAAGAAGTAGATCTGGAGAAAACTAATAGTGCAAAATAAAATTTCACGAGACATTTTAGTGCACGTTAATTTGGTTCATTGCAATCCCTTTCTGCTTTGTGCTGGCAGTAATGCTGCTGCAGTCAGCTGAGTTTGGAAATCTGTCTGGTTGGAATCAAACCCTGGAAAACAAGACTAGTTCTCAATCTAATCCTCTGTCTGAGAAGTCACACAAGTGCTTTTGTCAGCAGGGAGGAGTGTGAGGCAGAGGACTGGCGGGTGGGATTTCCCATCTCAGAGGCAGCAAGCTGTTAGGGTGGTTCAGTTGCAATCACCACTACACCACACCCGAAGGAAGGTCCTGATTGTTTGTCCTCTTCCAGCTGCTACTGTGCTGGCTCAGGAGGTTGCAGCTTGCTGTGTCTTGGTACCAGCTCTTCAGATCTGACAGCTAATTGTGTGATTGCACCTTAACACGTGTCAGCCAAAGCTTATCATCAGCTGAGCCTGTAATGGGTCACTCTTGCTGAAAGAGGAAGGTCTCGCTTCCCTTTCTTCTTTCCTCCTCCTGTGTGATGCATTCCCTTCCCTCTGCCAACTCTTGCACTTGTTGGAGCCATCTGTGAGCCTCCTCAGTTGGTCAGGTGATGTTAAAGAAACTCCTATTTTTGGCAGTAGGGTAATGGGTAGTCTTGCTGTTGTTACATTTGTGGAAGAGGATGACGAACAATAGGAGCACACAGCCAGATGAGAAGGAGGGCAGTACTACTAGTTGTGTTGCGCTTTTAGGACAGCTCAGGGCATTTTGTGAAACCATACCTCAAGTTGAAGTTCTTCAATTTAGTGTGTATGACCTTGACTAAAATTAGCTAAGGAATTGACATGCAAGCTGCTTGGCAGATCAGATGGGATGGCAAGGACAAGCAACCAGTGCTGGGTCTGGATGATAACCTCACCGAGTGTGTGGACCAGTGCACATCTCCACTCAGGGTGGGGAAATGCTATTTACCCTGGTTGAGGAAAGCTACTGAAATTTTGTTAACACCACACAATTTGATTAGAAAGGATTGTGCAATGACTTTTACCACTTCATTTAAGAGACCAACACATAGAGCTTCAGAATAAATGTATCAGGCAATGTGATTTTTCAGATTGCTGTTATTTTTCAGAAGTCATTATAAATGATGGGTTAATTCTAAATAAGAGAGAGAGTTTTGATTAAGAAATACACTTTTCATTTGAATCTGGTTTGAATTCAATTTTCTAATTAAAGTGAAAATTCAGTTAATGTTTAAAAAATGTGCATGTAATTGTAAAGTTTGTGGCCTTTTAATAGAATTTTAGTCAACTTCAATAGACAACATAACATGCAACAAGTGGTGATGGGGGCACTGCACTGGGAGAGGGAAGGTGAGCTTGTGGTTTGCTATGGCCTCGGGAGGGAGGTGAATCCTCCTCAAGAGTGGCTGCTCTGTCTGTGAAGAATGATAGAATCATAGAATGGTTTGGGTTGGAAAGGACCTTAGGATGAATTTTGAATGGAAGTGGCAGGTTGCTGTGCTTCATGAAACTTGGTGTTTCAGTGTGTGGGATTGGATCTAGCTAGTAATTGAAGTGTTTAGGTACTGCCCTGCATTGGGAGCAGTTGCAGACCCTAGCCTTGCAAGCACTGCCGGAACCCAGAAGAGACTTGCAGATTTCTTAGGCCCAAGAAGTGACTAATATATGTAGCAAGATCAGGGTGATAATGCACAGGGAACACAGCCAACAGGAGACAAAATAGTTATCAAATCTCTAATATGATTTAAAGAACAGGGGTTTCTCTGTTTGAATGTTAAGTTATTCAAGTTTAATATCCTCTTCTATCAAGATTGTCTTGGAGAAGAGGCAGGAGGCAGTTCTAGTTTAGCTCTGTGGGAGACCATTAATCTGCTTTAATCTGGAATGACAGTAGCATTGGTTCCCTTGTGAGGATTCATGGGTGTTCGGTGCTTGCTTTGCCTGGTGTGAATGTCAGCTAAGATGCTAGATGAGAGCAGGGGTTTGGTGTGGTGGTGGCTTTTTATTGGTACCTATTGTTAAGTCTTCATATATATATGAAAAAGTAAAAAAAAATCCTAAATAACACTGCCAACCAGTTTTTAACAAAAAAAAAGCTTTATTTAGATGAAAATAGAAAATAATAATTTTGTATTTATTAGTATAGAAAATAGTTTCTATTCATACACAAAATAATGCTTTAAAAAAGTTAGAATACAAATGTAATTAATGGGATTTCAGTTCTGCATATCTGCTCATCATTCGATTACTTTCCTTCCCCCTCAAGCTCCTCCAGGAGAAAGTGTGTGTTTTAAAAGTAAAATTTGCTTAAAGCTTTAGAATTTTGGAAAAAAAAAAAAAAAATTCCATGCCATTCAGAGGAGGCTTAAGGCAGTTTCAGAAATGCAGTAGCTGAAGAATGTGCAGAGCAAACTCAATGTAAGCGCATTGATCGTAAGCTTTCTGCCATAACATTGCCATTTGTCAGTCATATCCAAGCTTGAACTTAAAGGCCTGTTAAATGATTGAGCTGGTTTTTGATTGATGGAACATTTAGGGGTGTGTTGCTTCAGATAAAATTGCTTAAGCAGTGCAATAGCAATGTTACTTCAAATCAGAAGTTGATGTGTATATTAATTCTAGAATAAATTATGCATTTGTCATACTAAATACTATTTTGTTTTGGACTTAATTTTTTTTTTTTTAATGCAGGTTTGTTGTTGAAGGTCATATTCCGTATTTGAATGTTTTCCAGCATTTTCCAGAGAAGATGAAATTATGTGGACTTGATCTTAAGATCTTTTCTGTAGAGGTAATTTTTTTTTTTCTTCAAGGGAAAGATAAAAAAAAATACTAAAACTCAGTTATCTTATGGTATTTTAATTATTTTTTTTTGTCACTGTACTAATAAATTGATTAAATCTGTTCTTCTGTGGTACAGTTGATGTTTCACATTATTGGAGCCTGTGTAGAAACCAGTGCCCCCTGTGACTTGGAATGCTTTAATTTTTAACCAGTCTTATTAAGCTGATTACGTAAGTTAAAATAAAATCAATAAATACTTTTAGAGGAAAAGGTATTCAGAACTTGTCTTGGAACACTCAGAAATAGGACTTGGCTTCACATGTAGGGGCAATGTATTATCCTTTTTGGTTCTTCTTTAAAATATCTCTTGAATTTGTTTCTAATTCCATATTCTTTTCATAAAATATGGTCTAGATGCTATCAAAATTGTTTTCGTTCTTCCTGTACTGGTTTAAATATATCAAACCTAAAATCTGCTTAAGGGGTTATGGCCCTTTTAGAAGCTGAACAGTGATGGACAGTCTTGAGTAAAATGTAAATTTCCTTTATTTAAGGTTATTATGTATTATGGTAAAGATTGCCCACTGGTGCTTGTGTTGCAGAGAAGAAGTTTATTATGGATATTTGAAGTGTTTAAATAAAATTTTAGCTTTTAAGAGAAGAAAGCAGCAGTTCTGCTAACAGGAAAAGCTAGGTTTTGGTCTGCTATAAGGTGTTTGTAGCTCAAGCCCTCAGTGATGATGTTGCAAGTAATGTTACCGTTCTCCAGTAAGTGGTATTTTTAATACCACTGCTTTCCTGTCTGGATAAATAATAATGATGACCTCAACTGTTAAAAATCAGGGCATAATTTTAATATAAAACCTCTTGATTTATTTTTCTGTCTTGTATTTTTTCTGTTAAGGAAAGATCTATTAAAATGTGGGTGTAAACTTTAAAAAAAACCCCACAACTCTTAATTTGCAATATCTCTGTCCTTCTTTACCTCCATCCTTTGGAGGGGTGTTTGTCTCTCAAAAATGGTTACATAGAAGCTGTATTCTGGCCAGACCAAATAAAATACTCCCCCTCCCATCCTACACATCACACAATTCACATGAATTGCAGCTGTAAAAGTTGTACCATACCTCCAAGTGGAAGATCTGGTTTGCAGAGAGGAGATGACAATTGCCTCTGGAGGGTCCTAGTGCTTTCTTTTGGGATAGAGCTGTTTCTGGCATGCAGGATGATCTGATGCCAATGCTGAAGGTGATGTCATAGAATGGTTATAGAATCATAGAATGGTTAGGCTTGGGAAGGACCTCAAGATCATCTAGTTCCAACCCCCCTGCCATGGGCAGAAACGCCTCACCCTAGACCATGTTGCCCAAGGCTCTGTCCAACTTGGCCTTGAACACTGCCAGGGTTGGAGCATTCACAACTTCCGTGGGCAACCCATTCCAGTGCCTCACCACCCTCACTGTAAAGAACTTCTTCTTTTTATCTAACCTGAACTTCCCCTGTCTAAGCTTGAACCCATTACCCCTTGTCCTATCACTACAGTACCTGATGAAAAGTCCCTCTCTGGCATCCTTCTGTCATCAGTCCTTATGAGCTTACTTTCTCCCAGTGCTGTTGGTTCTGTTTATTCTACTGTCCCTCCACAAGCACATTTCCACTGTGGATTGTAGCATGTCCTAGTGTGGGAGCTGGACTTCACAACTTGAGAGCCACAAGCTGGTCAATTTAATCTCTTCCCAACTTTACATAAAAGAGGCAGTCTTGCAACTTCACCCTCTGTCTTACATAGCATATATGCACTTTCCTTTTTTCACAAACTGGTATAAAACCCCCCAAATCATATTGCTTATGACGAATCTGTACCTTATGTGGTCTGTTGTTTAGCTTACAGGAAATTTGTGATCTAAAAACTGAATTTGTATAACTTTTGACTTCCATCGTGTTTGTGATACTGACACCTGCACCCTTCACTTCCAAAGTACAAAGTAGATACTCGTACTAATCAAGTCATCTCTTAAATTTGTTTTCATTTAGATTGTATAGTTTGTTTTCCAGCCACTCCAGTATTACTGTGGCTTCCTCTTTCTAGGAATATCTGCTCCCTGCTTTACCTTCAATGTTCCTTTAGTAATGCATCCTCAGGTTTATTTAGTTTTAAAATTTTTTACTAGATCATTGGTCTGATAATTGCAATGACCTTACTGGCTGTTTCCTATGGTTTTAGAACCGATCTTGCTGCTCGTTGCAGCTCTGAGATTACCGATAGTTTGCTGTATCTAGTTTTGACATCTGAGTTTTGAGAAATTCAAGAGATGAGGTTATTGTCCTGGAGCAGGAAGTCAGATTGTGTAATAACTTCATCCTGAAAATGCAGCCTGCATTCTTTCCTCCTTGATGTTCTGAGTATAATAATCTATAGACAATTATCTTCAAAACCTTTATGGGATTATGACTGTTAAGAACCACGCAGGTAAGATGCCCTAATGCCATGTTGTGCTTCAAGTCTGGTGAATATGAGCTACAAAAATGTTCAAAAACCTTGATAACTGACAGGACTATTCAACATGTCTCCTTTATTTTTATTTGGAACAGATTTTTAGGGCGTTTAGTCGTGTCCTGTGCTAATACCCTGCAGCCCAAATTTGAGTCGAGAAGTACTTATTTCATAGTAGCTTGAAGGATTTAAAGTCGTACTAAGTATCATTCTAAGTATCCATTAAGTACAGGTGAAGCTTAACTTGGTAAAGCTCAGCTTGTATAAAAACATTCTCAGTGGCTTAAAGTTGATTTTTTTTTGTTTGTTTTTTAAGTAACTATTTCCCAGATACTGAAAATATACTGAATTTGTACAAGTTTGAGTTGTTATAGGTTTAAAAAAATAAATGCAGTAATTATTACAAGGTGAGTCACATCTACTTTCTATCTTTCTATGTAATGACGTGTATATGTACATGCACAAGGGTTTTTTTATGCCTCGTCATCTGTATGTGACTAGTCTCCGGCTTTCCAGCTGATGAATTCTGTGCTATGTAATACAAGAACTGAGTCCATATTACTGACAATTTTTCCCAGTCCTGTGTACAGTTTGGCAATTAGAGGTGATTGCAGTGTCAGTCATACAAGGAGAAGTGGGGAGAGCTGGGATTTTTGTCACTAAGAAGGTTGGGGGGGATTTCAGTAATGAGTATAAATACCTGGACAGAAAGGAGTAGGAATGGAGTCAGGCTCTCTTCTCAGTGGTGCACAATGGAAGGACGGGCGTCAACAGGCAATTCCATTTAAACATAATGTTTTTTTACTGTAAGGGTGATTGAATGCTGGAACAGGCAGCCCTGAACCACTGTGCATCTCCACATCTTTGGAGATGCACAAAACCTGACTGGACACAATCCTGAGCAACTTGCTGTAGTTGACCCTGCTGTGAGCAGAGGCGTTGGACGCTCCAGAGGTCCCTTCCAACCTCAAGTATGCTATGAGTCAAATGGTATAGTATGCCTTGTATTCTATTTCACATTTTCAGTGTAGGTGGCAGATAAGCCCTTCATATTTTAGTAATTGAACAGCTAATAAGAAGAGCATAATTCTTCACTCTGCCAAACTGAATTCAAAATACTTGCCACAAGTGTTATGGTATCTGGACACCTCTGTCCAGCAGCCTGGGAGCTTTGGGTATGACTGCTTCATAAATAAAAAGGAGCCACCACCTCTCCATATAATCTTTATCATGATGCGTAACTGTTAGACACGTTTTAGGTCCTAGCTGGAGGTAAGTACTACCTCACAAGTAACTTAGAAAAGATAAAAGTACTTTACAAAGAAGATCTCTGTGTAAAGTGAGTAGTTTATCTTCCATATGTGTTTTATCATTCCATTGCTCGAAGTCTCTTTTCTAAGCCTTCACTTGATTAGTCATCCTATTTATCCCTTCCTCTATTAAAATCGTGTATGTTAGAAGTTAGCCTTTGGTAAATGGGTTTTACCTAAATGCACCATCAGAGGGTTCACAGGGCAAACAGCAGCAGTAGCAGGATGCTCCTGCTTAGTTCTTAGTTCAGAAGTTCTAAGTTCCCAATACAAAAGAAGAAAAGCAAGTTTTCATCTTACTCTGCAAAATTTCCTTTTCCTAAAACAAGTATTCCATTTCATTAAAACTTTTTTTTATACCTCAAGAAAAAATAAGATACTTAAGTTTTGGGTTTTGCTCTATGCAGGATATCGAGGTTGGTTTGGTTTTGTGGGGTTTTTCTGCTATGTGCGATTTGTTTAACTACAGTAAATCCCTGCTGACCTTGAGGTTTGTGCCAGTAGCCAGTGGTCTTTGACGAGCACAATCATCTTTTCTCTTTGGGTGGGGGCCATCTTTGTTTCCTTTTTATTGGACGGGATAGTTATTTCTTTAAAAGCCTGCTGGTGTAGGCGTTAAAATGAATTTGTAAATTAGTAGTGGTATATATAAAGTTTCATGGCTAATTTGCTTTCAGCTTGTTTTATTTTTTTTGATAGTATCTGTCATCCAGTGGAGCTACACACAAATTCCACCTTCCATTTCTGCTTGAAGTAGGGATAGATACATCCTTAAGATACATATTCTCTAGTTTGCTTTTAGGATTTATCTTTATCCTTATACAAAATTAACTCAAGCATCCCTTTGCTCTTGAGCTAGTAATAGCTTGTCCTTGCCATAGATCTGTTTTTCCTTACATTTTTGTCTCAGGACTGTATACCCAATTATCTTTTAGGTAATTATTTTGTTTATTTAAAGTTGGTTCTGCTTTGCTGTCTCAAGTTTACCTTTAACTTTCATTACTTCTTGTAAAACTCGCTACTTTTTGGTGTATTTTACTCTTAATGCATTGTAGACTGTTTTGGGGGATTTTTATTTTTTTTTACTGTACAAAAATACTTTTTGGTTTTTATTCTTACATTCTTCACATCCACATGCAAACTTAAATTTATGTGTATATATAGGTAAGCAGGTCACTCCCATGGCTGTTGGGCAACATGATT